TGTACATTGTTGCTTGGTTTTGCTCTGTCTTGTTTTTGTGCATGTTGTTGTCTCTGCAGGCCTGTCTGGATAGGACAGGCTGGATGAACAATATGGAGGGGAAAACAACGGGACTGACAGTTCCGGGGGGACATCGGAGAGGGGGAGGTGGGGGGAAGGGAAGAGGTATTAACATACAATTATTTTCGTTGCTACTTCATCACTGTAATTTTGCTACTGTTACGAACCGGGCGACCCCTGTGAAAGGGTCGTTTGACCCCCACAGCTTGAGAACCACTGCTTTATAGGGTTTCTGAGGCTTTGAACACCTTTAAAGGAACAGACAAGCCTCATCCTTCTCCCACAAAGCCACAGGTGGACTTGAACCACCAACCCGGTGGTTAGCAGTCCAACACTTACCCAACCACACCACCAAAAACCAAAACCAAGCTCCCTGCCACCGAGTCGATTTCAACTCATAGTGACTCCATAGGAAGGAAGAGAACTGCTCCTGTGGGTTTCGGAGACTGTAACTCTTCCCAGGTGTGGGAAGCTTCATCTTCCTCCTTCCGAGGGGCTGGTGGTTTTGAACTGCTGATCTTGCAATTAGCAGCCCAATAGGTAACCCACTATGCTACCAGGACTCCTAAAATACGATACCATAAAATGTTAACATCATTAAGTCCTCACATAGTGTTTCCCCAACTTTAATGTGCACTCCCATCACCGAGACCCCTTCCTAAAGTGAGTGCATTTCTCACCAGCTCCCAAGTGATGTGGGTCCAAGACCAATTTTGAGTTGCAAAAATCTCCACTCCAAAACTTTGCCAGCCTCTTGCAAAACTACCCCAAAACAACCTATTTCCCTTTACAATGCCAGGACCCTTCATCTGGAGTTCCAATTAAAATTTCATGACTTTTGAACATGGCAAGTTCGATTTCAAATCACATATTTGTTTGTTTTCTGGAACAGGAGGGCCATTGCGTTCACCAAATTCTTAAAGAAGTCCCTGCCCCCAACAGACTAAGAATCAAGGTACTATTGAAAACGAACTTTCTCACATACCACTAAGTTATTGATAAGTGGTATGGTTTCCTATTTTGTTTAACTACTGGAATGACAAGAATCCTGTTTTCTACTGCTCAGTCACTCTAACTGAGCAGTGTTTCCACTACACTGTGGACAGTAGAATTAAGATTCAGTCCGGCCTGTTTCCCTAGAACATTGTGTCTTACATTGAAACAACCTATTTATAAACCAACATTTACAACCCAAATGGAAACTGAACAATTAGAAAATGTCGATGTCAAAATATAAAAACTAATGGTCGCATTTTAGCTTCTTAACTTTGTATCCACAAACAGCTCAATTCTTTCAAAATGATCAAGGGCATTTGCCGGGCAACAGAGGGCCACAGGGGAAAACCAACACAAATTGATAACAAAAGCTGCAATGGCGGAGTAACAGTCTAAGATGAGGGAAAAGACACAAAGCTTTAGTGTTTTAGGATATATACTGTTAAAAATGAGACACCTTTCAGAAAATGTTTCCCCTTCTTTTTAAGTTTAGAAAGCTTTGCTATAGGAAAATTACACTATCTTTCGATTCCATTTTCCCATGAACTCTTTGAAGCCCATTCATAATTGAAAATCAGGTTAAAAGTCTGCTTACAAGGCAGGCTCTTGGCTGGCACCTGGGAACTGAGACTGCAGGGGGTTCACACCACTATTGGCTGAGCCAGATTAGTTACACAATCACGATCGTTTATGCTGAGCACCTGCTTTCCATCTGCGAGTCTAGAATGTTTGGTCCATGCCAGGCAGAGATTGCCTATACGATCAGCCTCTAAAACTCCTGGGTCCTGAATTTCCCATATGCT